AACGTGTCTGACCACTACCGGCACACTTTTGCACCGGAGGTTTTCGGAAAGCTTTTATTTTGGTATTTCCGCTGATCCGTGCAATAAATTTGCATGTTAGCCTAAACATTTAGATTTAACATTTAGATTTAGATTTAAATTTAACATTTAGATTTAACATTTAACAATTCTTGATTTAAATATAAATTAATTTAAATTTAGATTTAACATTTTTAGATTTAAATATAATATTTAGATTTAACATTTAACATTTAGATTTAACATTTAGATTTAAATATAATATATAACATTTAACATTTAGATTGAATATTTAACATTTAGATTTAACATTTAAAATTCTGTTTTAAATATGAAAAGTTACAAATATTTTACTAAATGTTGTAAAAAAATGACTTGTTTTGAGCTAAATGTGGAAAAATGTTGCCGTTAATTTCAGCATGTTTCACTTTACAAACGGCGCCCCATACCTAACGAGCTATTTTGAGCTTAACGTCAGAGTTTTGCAAGTGAGGAAAGTGACTTTTTAAAAAAAAACCTGGCTAAATCACGTGATTAACGATTTGCTCTGCACTAATCTCTTATTTGCCACAGTGCTGCATTTTACTGTTATATTTTATGCTTTTATTTATATTATAATTTTCCTTACAGTTTTTGAATCACCATTTTATCGTTAGCGTCATCATCTGTTATGTCTCTGATTGGAGTTGGTGGCACTTCGTTTCAGCCGGAAGAAGAGTCATGTGACGAGTCACAGATCCGGAAGCAGAAAGACCGATGTGCAAAAAAGGGATTTCCAGTATTTGCTGGCCTGAGCTGTGAAATACTTGTTGAACATATTTCCCGTGAATGATATCAGTTCCATTTTAAGCCAGAGAGAAAACATTTTTTTGGCAAAGCTACTTTTATATATCTTTTATTTTTGGGTGTAAAATTCACACTGACATTAAAACTTTATTTTTCAAGATAGATAAGGCCAATAGGGCAGCAGATATTTTAGAAGCGTTTCACAGACTAGGATTTTCATTAGGATAGACAGGACTAGTCCATCCTGAGCTGTCTCCGTAGGTGAGATGTTTGTTTTTTGTTTTGTTTTTTACAGGAACTTTATTGAACAAACAATAGAATAGAACATGAATACAAATAACCAGGGGTAAAAATAATAATAATTATATAAATACACCCCAAAATTCACATATATGTATTGTTTTGAGAGCCTTTTTGTTGGTGGAATCCGATATTGATTTTATGTACACATATATTTTACGTCATAGCATGACGCTTAACGCATGCGCCCTGGTGTTTTTTGGGGGGTCCACGTGTGAAGAATGGCAGAAAAAGCTTTACTGGACCGATCGCAGGTAAAAGTTTGATTGATTTGTGATTTCAGATTTGTTTGAATTAGTCGTTTTGAGAATGTTTGGGTTACGCTGCTTGTTAATAAAGTTTGTTACCACGTATCTCTAATGAGCCAGCTGGTTCCAACTAGCTTCTTCAACATGCTAACACGTTTGGCGTTAGCAAATGCTAATTTATAGCTCAGGTATTAAGCTGCCTCATTTGTATTGTGGTGTCTTAACTTAATGTGTCTGACAGGTAAAGAAGGCCGTCCAGGCCCTGCAGGCCTTCCTAAAAAACAAAGCTAGTGGTGAAGCCCCGTTTCTGGATGAGACTCAGCATATCAGCCTGCTCTTCACGCTGTGGAAGATACCCAAAGAAGCGCAGACCATACGCATGTGAGGAGTCTAGGCGACTGAATTTTAGTTCCTCCGTCGCAGCAAATGTTTTCCAAATTTAAAGTAATTCGTTGATAATGGCATTCCCCCAGAGTCATTGTGTTTCTTTTGTTTTCTTTTTGTTATCCGCAGTCCCTTGCCCCATGGCCAGCGGTCAGACACAGAAGAGATTTGCCTCTTCACCAGAGATGAGCCCAACATGAGCTCAGAGCAGACCCAGAGGTTTTATAAGAAGCTTTTGCAGGAGAGAGGTGTCAAAGGCATATCAGAGGTACACTGTTCTAAACTGATGTTGGTCCAGGTTCAGCATTGCAAGCAACCAATCATATTGGTGTGAGGTCATAGTAGCATATGGAAAAGCCATCACATCACACCACTCACCTAACCCAATAACCATAACTATAGTCCCACAACCCTAATCCTAACCATGATCATGTTCCCACCCTCATTGAAATCTGGCAAAGAGGAGTCAAGTCCACTTAAGCTGCTCAGAGTAGGTATAAAGGAAGAAGGGCTTAACTGCCACCTTTTTGGGAATTTTTTCCTAAGTAGACATGGGCAAGGTTTTTTGGTTTTTTTGCTATCCTGAGTGTACATTTTTCTGCTTTAAACAGTCTTGTCAGTGGTAAGAAACATTCAGGGATGTGTTTGTCTGTGGCAGATCATACCGTATAAGGTCCTGAAGACGGAGTACAAACCATACGAAGCCAAGCGCCGCCTGCTGGGAAACTTTGACCTGTTCATTTCTGATGACCGCATCCGCCGACTGCTGCCATCGCACCTCGGGAAACATTTCTACAAAAGTAAAAAGTGAGAGCGCTTTTCAGTTTGTCCTGTTTAGTGTGTGTGTGTGTGTGTGTGTGTGTTAGAAAAATAAGAACTATGGTTTGACTGTAAACTATACTATCTATCTATCTATATCTATATATATATCTATATATATATATATATATATATATATGTAATATATATATATATATATATATGTTATATTATGTATATATATATTATATATATTATATATATGTATATATATATATTTATATATATATATATGTGTATATATGTTATATATATATATATATATATATATATATATTGTATGTATATTATATATGTGTGTGTTTATATATGTATGTATATATGTATATATTGTATGTGTATATATGTATATATATATGTATATATATATATGTATATATATATATATGTATATAGTATATATATATTGTATATATGTATATATGTATATTATATATATGTATATGTATATATATATATTTATATGGTATATATATATATATATTATATATATATATATTAATATATTGTATTTATGTATATATATATGTATGTATATTGTGTGACTATATATGTGTTGTATATATATGTAGTTAGTATGTATATATATATATATGTTATGTATATATTGTATATATGTGTATATATATGTATATATGTGTGTATATATGTATATATATATAGTGTGATATGATATATTAGTATATATATATGTAGTATATATATATATATAGTGTGTATATATATATAGTATTATATATATATGTATGTAGTGTGTATATATATATGTTATATATATATGTTGTGTATATATATATGTATATATATGTTATATGTATATATATATATATATGTGTATTATATATGTATATATATGTATATTATATATGTATAGTATATATGTATTATATATGTATATATATGATTATATGTATGTATATATATATATATATTTATTTATATATATGTATGTATGTATATATATATGTATGTGTTTATATATATATATTATGTATGTATGTATATATGTATGTATTATATATATATATTGTATGTATGTATATATATATATATGTTATATATATATTATGTATGTATGTATATTTATTATGTATGTATGTATGTATTATATATATATATGTGTATTTTTTACTTCATGGGTTTATGCCAGGTCATGACATCACCCCCATACGCAGCAGCAGACTGGCAAGCTGCGGCCTCACCCCCAAACACTGTTGCAGATTGCAGTATAACCCCCAAACACCATGGCAGACCTTGGCAATTGCGGACATCACTCCAAACGCAGGGCAGGTCGTGGCAAGTTACGGCATCACTCCCAAACACTGTAGCAGATTGCAGCATCCCTCTCAAATGCAGTGGCAAGTCCCAGTCTCACCCCTGAATGCGACATCACTCCCAAACGCCGCGGCAGGTCGTAGCCAGTCGCACCATTGCACCCAAACACCGCAGCAAGTCGTGGTAAGCTGCAGCATCACTCCCAAACGCCGCGGCAGGTCGTAGCAAGTCGCGGCATCGCACCCAAACATTCTGGCAGACTGTGGCCAGTCGTGGCATCGTACCCAAACGCCACGGGTGGCAAGTCGTGGGCTCACCTCCTCCACTCTTTGCTGTGCCATCCTGGCATGCAGTCGAGTCTTGGAGCAACAAACACCTATTGGGGAGGAAAAAAACAGTGGAAGATGGGAGATAAATTTGCGTCTGTGCGAACACTGTAACATTAAACTCTAATTCCAAATCAGCCAACAGACAGAAACGCCCTCCATATGTCTTTTCTCATTTCGAGATGATAGACCGGTGTAAAAGTGCCCCAATACAAACAGATTGACCAATCATGTTACTTGCCTCTCTTTTCGCGTTGGCTTCCTCAGAAACTCACTGCAGGTGATTCTCCGAGCCCTTGGCAATGCAGCTGCTCGTGCTTCTGTATGAGGATGAATGCAAGAAATTGGATTTGAAAATATAGCATTGAGCCACAGAAGCCACTAAGAAACGCGGAGGGAGAACATGCCAAAGCAATACAAACTATCACATTAAAAAAAATTCAGCAGCAGAGGAGAAAAGAGCAAATCCAGGTATCCAAAGAAGATAAGAGCTTAATGTCATTTGAAACATTATTGAAAGCAAAGCCCCTTATTCCCACAATTTTTCACCCCCACTTGTGTTCTCTGAACGTTTCTCTGTTTTGCTGCAAATGACTTTAAGGTGTCGTGTAGCTGCGACGGTTCTATTCTTACCCTTTTGCTTTCTTTTCCAGAGAGCCGCTGTGTGTGAACCTGCAGAGCAAGCATCTGGCCAGAGACATCGAGAGAGTCATCCAGGGGACCAGCCTGAAGGTTACCAACAAGGGCTGCTGCTGGTGAGATTTATTCACGTGTCCCTGGTTTCAGCTTTTTGTGCAGAAATTCCCCTTTATTAAAAACTCTTCGGTAGCAGATGATCTTAACTGCACCTCAGTACAACCTTGTCGATTCTCTGTAATCGATACGGGTCAGACTGGTGCAATAGAAACTCAAAGTAAATCCAGATGGACCTCCTCTTTCTGTGGAGCCTGTCTCTACAACTTTGATACACAATGTTTAGCATCTTACTCGGTTAATAAATAAGAAACAGTCACATTGGTGCTTCATATACTGCTGCTGTGATCTGTGTGTTTGGTAACACTGTGTTTTCGTGCACTCTGCCTGTGTTGCAGTATGGCACGTGTTGCCCACTCGGGCATGGCTGCAGACGAGGTGACGGAAAACATCGAGGCTGCCGTGCAAACAGTGGTCACCAAACTGCGCATGGTGAGAACTTTTTGTTTTACATTTGGTTGTTAGATTTTAGACTTATCACACCCCGACTGAGCTGATCTATGCCAGCTCTCAATAATATTCCTGATATTGAGATGGTAATTGTTATTCTCTCACTGATAGGAAAAGTAGCTGTGTGGAAATGTGCAAATCACAGTAGTTTGAAGCCGCAGTAGTTTTAGAAGGCTTTGTAGTTGCATCAAAGTGATGGCAACATAAATCCCCAGTAAGGCTCTGCCTCTTTAGCGTGGGAAGGAAGTCCCCACAACTGGTTCCAGCACCAGTCTACTGGTGACAAAAACAAAAATCCAGCGTCTCGGTGCAGAAATGAAGACGTTTGAGTTGTACGTGTCATACTAGCATGTAGATAACAGCTGATTTGTTTCGTTGGCTTCAGCAGTTTTTATTTTGCCTGTGATTAAACGTGATGGATGATGTGTTCAGTGGGATCTGGTCTTTCGTGCAGTCAGTTGTTAATTGATTGTTTCGTGTATGGAAGAAAACGCACCTCTCGGTATCAAACGGCACAATTTTTGTGCAGTAAAATGGGCACTGATCAGCGTTAGGGTTGGGCAATGTGAGGAAAATCTAATATTACAATTATTTTGTGGCTATATTGCAATACACGATAAAATATCACAATATGTCCTGAGCCTCAGTGTCCCCAGCACCGGGGACAAAGGGAGTGAGCTGCAGTTTAAGCCTAAGTGAAGTCAGCGTGTGTGGATCCACAGAAACATCCGAATCTCAGCTAAAAGCTCACATAAACCATTTCAACAACCATCGAACAGCGAAAACGGCAAACTATTAAAAGCGCAGTTACGCAATGTCGTGAAATGTGCCTAAACACAAACAAGGAAGCTACAAACTCACTTGACTTTACGTAACCAAGCAAACGGCACGTGTAGAGATCTCACAGATTCAGACTACAAATATACTTTGTTTGATAAAAAATAACATGGAATTAAACTTACCGTGCTGTTTTTCTCTCGCCGATCGCAGTCGTAGGTCGGGTCACAGCTGGTTTATTTAAAGTTTTCTTTGTGTGGGGAGACGTTCACACGTGGAGTTTAAAACATTTTTCATTTTGCAGTGGATCACTTTTCAGCTGGTGGAATAACTTTGAGGTTCTTCGACCTTCTCCGGCAATAGTTTAACGGCATGATTTGCAAATTACCGCATTTTGTTTAACATCCTCCTCGTGAAATCCAAGTCTGAATCGCCTGCCGTCGCCATATTTCTCCTTTCTGATGGTGTATAAACGCGCATGCTCAGTGCAGTGTGCCGGGTAGAAAACTTTCCGGTTGGGAGGGGGGAATAATGATGCATTCGCAGCTTGTGGGAGAAAAAAAACTGAGTGAATTATGTGCAGACAGCTTAATATTTCCATGGCAACCTATACTCGATGGTTACGATAAAGCTATTTTAACCATGGTACGTGGACAAACTTACGATACATCGAGTATATCGTCCAACACTATTTAGTTTGCAATTTCAGTTTGGAATTCAAAAAGTTGCACAGCGTTCTTTTATGTATCGATGCAAGTTTTTCTTGCCGTGTCTGATTTGATCGCTGTTTTACAGAAAGGACCTGTGATTAAACTCATCCACATTAAGAGTCAAACGTCGGTGGCTCTGCCTGTCTACACCTCAGACTTGGGCCATCTCTCTGTCCTGGAGTCCAAACAAGCTCAAACGCCTAAAGACAAGGTGAGTACAAATTAGCACTCAAAATGTATTATTATTTTTTTTGTATAAGCTGCATTTGTTGAAACATTCGGAAAAGTAACAAGTTTGTGTGCATTTCAGGAATCTGCATCCACAAAGAAAAATAAGACTGAGGACAAAGAGCAAGCAGATGCTACTGCAGAGGGCAAGAGGAAGGTGAAGAAAAATAAAGCAGCATCTGAAGAGGAGGAAGAAATCCCACAGCTGGTTCCCATAGAAACCCCTGTCAAAAAGCCTAAACTGGAGGTCAGTACTTTTCACAGCTGTTCGAGTTGAAGGGAACCTCAGCAGATGATTCAGGTTTTGTTTTTCTTTGGCATCGTTAACGTTTCCTCTGTTTTTTGTAGAAGGCGTCCAAAAAGAAGAAGCTGGAGAAAGCCCCCAAACCCGCAGCGCTGAAGAAAGGAACAAAAGCTCAGAGCAAACTGATCAAGAAGACCGACTCCAAAGTAAAAAGAAAAGTACCTAAAGTGAAATGATCGTTAACGTGGACATTGAATTATTATTTTTTTCTCTGTTCTTCTTTTTCCCTCTAGTTGTATTCTGTGAATGTAATGTTACTGTTTGATGACAGTAGAGACAAAACTACTCATAATGTGTTTGATTCAAGCCCATCTTGTGCTGAGTCATCATACAGTGTCAGTGCCTTGGACTCGACCTAATCAAGCAGCTAACGTGTGAAAGATTCTCTCACAATTCCCAGTTTTCATATACAGTGTTGGGGTTACGTGCTGTTGTAATAAAGCCTGAACGCTGAAATATTTTGTCATTAAATGTGTTTGAAACTGGAGGAGTTGCAGCGGAGGCTGGAGCCTATCCCAGCTACAATAGGGCGGAGGCGGGGTACGTCCTGGACCAGCCACCTGCCTGACGCAGGGCTAAAGTGTGGTGCATTAGTTTTCATGTGTACTGTTGTCAATACACCTGATGGTTTTTATGCAATTTATTGCAAAAAAATGTGCAATTCTTTTACGTTTTGTGGGTGAAAACATTACACAAGCTCAAATACAATACACATGGTATTACAGGGTTAAGGGCTGTAGTTGGTTAATATGATTACTTGTTGCCACTGACAAATGGAAATGCATTCAAATTATATTTATCTGATTAATATGGGGTATTAAAATTCAGCTTCAATTGGAGATGTTAAAACTTTGAATGTTTACAGCCATTTTCTGCTAAGATTCAAGTGTTCAATTACAGACACTTCACTAGTAACAGTGTTTGAGTAGTTTGTCAGTTTGGCTGGTGGGAAATGTTGAGTGTATAATTTTGACAACGATCCAAAATGTGCTGAAAAAGGCACTCTGTGAGTTTTTGAAAATTGTGGGGGGAATATTGTGCAGCAGGTGAGTCAATCATCTATTGGTGCATTTTACTTGTTGAACGTGACGCTAATGGCAGTAACGTCACAAACGAGAAACCCCGCTGCTCCGTGATGTCAGCAGATTCAATGCCCTCAAAGGATTCATGACAAGTTAAAATGAAGATTTTATGTACAGTGATGCTAATTTGCCCAATTACAATGACTTCCTGAAAGTAGAGGAGTGTGCACACAAAAATGGATTAATTCCTCCACTATAAAAAAACATTGTTGCTCAACCTATCAAACCCGAGTCTCCATTTAAAAGCTATAATAAGGCAATGTGAATAAAACACTTGAATTTAACTGTTTGCCAACCTCATATTCAGAATGTTTTTGCTATCATGTGCAGGCACAGCCTTGCTTATTGTAAATGAATCACGGTTCTCAAATATGACATTCATTAGTTCTGAAAGGTGGATTTTTTTTCAATTTCTCTAATATTTGGAAACTTGCAAAGATGCATAAAGTAATCGAGCAGTGGATGAAGCCTGATGTGTAATCCTGTGAACATTTTAGAGAAAATAACGAGATGCTGTTTTTTAGGCCTGGAAAGATGAGTATTTTCAGCTACTCCTGTTATTTACAGCTGCACTTGTTGGTCAAATGGCAGCAAAATAATTGTGAATAGGCAACTACACTGCTAAACTGCACTCTGTTTGGGAACCTCTGGGACATGATTTATCAGTGCATCTATGCCACAAATTACACAGACTGTCCAAGGAGCTCACTCAGGTCTCAGAGGAGACCGGAACAGCATCCACCTTACATCAAGGAGGATTAGCTCGTACATCAGCAAGGAATAATCATGTGGCTTACATGGTTGAGGATTTATACAGACTATCTATCTATCTATCTATCTATGAACAGTTGTTTGCTCTAACATGTATTAGCCTTGTTTGCTTGTGCTGGATATGGCTCTGTGCTTGCAAAGCCATCCAGCTGTATCAGATGACATCCCCATTGTTAATGGGAATAATACCTATAATACCTAGCCTGTGCAGCAGCTGTCAGCAAGTAATCGTGTGTGTGTGTGTGAGAGAGAGAGAGTGGAGAGGGTGGAGTATATCCAATATATGAAACTCTGCATTTCTTTGTAACATAATAATGTCAGAAACTGCAAGCATGCATAACATTCTACACACCATCTGATTCTTGTGACAATAAGCAGTTTTGGGTTGTTTTTTCCCTGCTTTCGAATAGACAGCCTTTGTTTTGGAAGTGTACTGTAACAAGATCGTCCTGACAGCAAGCTAATGAGAGGTGATGACATTTTTGTCATCAGGTGGGCTGCGACTGTCTGTCCTCACTCAGCTGTGTGGGTGTGGTGGCCCATCTGGAATTACAGCGTGTTCACGGGTTACTGAGCAGCAGATTAAGAGATGCATCAGGCAGTCACACACTTGGTCATCGTGCAGATGATACAACTCTTTCATGTGACTTTTGGGAGGTGCTGCATTCTTGACAGATGTCTGCATGGACTGGGAGAATGAACAGAACGGCTCGGGACTGATTTAAAGAAGACAATCGGTGTCCTGTTGAGGTCCACTTGCTATCATCTCCCTTCTCTGTACATCAAAGGTACAAGGCTTTGTTTCAACTATGGAAACTTCTTTTTCGGGTGACTTTGGGAGCCAGCGGTTGTACCCAGACACACAGCCAGCAGCTGCCGAAGGCCCGGGCCGTGCTTACCTCCACAAACCTATCATCGTGATTGTGATGGGATCTCTGATGTCTGTAGCAGGCGCAGTACTTTTACTGCTCCAGTACTCAGGGGTGACTGAAGCGTCCCGCTCTGTAGCCTCGGCCTGCCTGTCTTTAGGGCTGATGTTTGTGGCGATGGGGCTGGTGTGGGTCCCCATTCTGAAAGAGAAGGAAAGGCGGAAACGGATCAGCCAGGGGGCTTGAGCAGAAGATGGAAAAGACTTGATGATGTCAAAGATAAAATGCTATTAAATGCTCTTTATAGTGCTCTGACACATCCAGTACAGTCAAGCTGGTGTGGCTCTTGCTGATAATGGCCTGAGTACACTGTACTTTGACCGTGTCACAGCAGGTTGTTTTATGTTTCTCTCAGCGAGGATCAGACTTGATTGTCTTTGCTTTTACACCGGCTGCTAAAGTTTGTCGCTTTGGATTTTCTTCCACGTCTGGATAAACTCTTTGGATAAGTTATCATGTCAACACCTGTACAGGTGGAGCCCATCATGGAGAAGAGGTACGGAGGAGTTGGCCGCTGCAAGTGCTCATTTTGGTTCGCAGTGGCCCACGACATACTCGGTGTCTTGATTATAATGATTGGGGTGTTTGGAGGACTGGTTATCCACGATCTGTTTGTCTACGGCGGGGCCATTATCCTCTTCCTCAGCCTGATCTGGTGGGTGTTCTGGTACACGGGGAACATCGACGTGCCGCCGGAGGAGCTGGAGGACAACGTGGGCTTGACGAAGCAGAAGAACCGTGGACTGAGCCGGGTGGTGAGGCGCTTGTCTGATCGCCTCGCCAGCGGGATCAGGAACTCCTTCAGAAAGAGCGGCAGGCTGGTTAGACAGGGCCCCCCGGGCGACAACGGAGTTGTAAACGCCGGTGCAGATGTGTCGCTCTCTACAATCTACGACGGCACCCTGGCTTCTACTTCAAACGAATTTGTGAGAGAGACACTGTCAGTGTGAGCTGCTCCACGGCAGAACACAGAGACACTGGACTGCGATCATTATATTTGCCTTTTGTTGAAAAGGATTTTGTGTTTGCTCTACCAACATGCACAAGTAATGATTAGGTAACAATGAAGTGCTGCCCTGACAAGAGCCACATGATTGTACCTTGCTGATAAGATGCAAACTTTGCACACTATAACAGTGTTTTTACATGACACCGATTAAGAGACAACAGCCTCCTCACTTATCACTATTTCTGATATTATTCGCGTCACAGATTTTGACTGTAAATAGAAAATGAAAAGGTATATTGATAAATGTGTTACGGACAGCCTTTTATTGTAAAAGAACGGCAGTAGAAGTGTGCTAAACACGATCAGAGGAATGATATGTGGTTTTTATGGTTTTTGTAACAAGTTAAATTTATAACATTTACTCAAATTAATATTTTATGTTAAAAAAGCTTCAATATCGTCTCGCAAAATAAACACATTGTAGTTTTGATAACACAGGAAAGTTCCATGCTTGTTTATGCGTCATGAAAGTGATAAGTCAAGCTAAGTTTAGATCATTCAACTATTTGCTACCAGCTGTCTGGTTTCAGGTCCCCCTGTGTGCTTATATGTGTTGCAACAATCAATGGCCCTACATGGTAAATAAAATCTATCACAGATTGGCTTCAAACTAAGAACTTAGACCTTTTATAGAGGCACAGACAATAAATCAATAAACCATGTGACGGGATGACCCCAAGAAAGCGATTCAGCCCAGAGTGTGGTTCAACTGAAGCCTTGCAGTTATGAAGGTACACAAATTCTTTAACATTGTGCAGGTCTGACCTTCTGTCAAAGAAGGTTTTGTTACAAATATAAGACGACTTATTATGACTTTCCACATTTTTTTTTCCGTATGTTACAGTTACAGTAGTACAGACGTGGACAAAATTGTTGGTACCCTTCGGTCAATGAAAGAAAAACTCACAATGGTCACAGAAATAACTTTAATCTGACAAAAGTAATAATAAATAAAAATTCTATAAATCTTAACCAATGAAAGTCAGACATTGCTTTTTCCAACCATGCTTCAACTGAATTATTTAAAAAATAAATGCATGAAACAGGCCTGGACAAAAATGATGTTACCCACAACTTTTATATATTTTGTTGCACAACCTTTTGAGGCAATCGCTGCAACCAAACGAATCCTGTAACTGTCAGTGAGACTTCTGCACCTCTCAGCAGATATTTTGGCCCACTCCTCATGAGCAAACTGCTCCAGTTGTTTAGGTTTGAAGGGCACCTTTTCAGACTGCATGTTTCAGCTCCTTCCAAAGATGCTCAATAGGATTGAGGTCAGGGATCATAGAAGGCCACTTTAAAATAGTCCAATGTTTTCCTCTTAGCCATTCTTGGGTGTTTTTAGCTGCGCGTTTTGGGTCATTGTCCTGTTGTAAGACCCATGACCTGCGACTGAGACCAAGCTTTCTGTCACTGGCCAGCAAATTTCTCTCCAGAATCCCTTGATAATCTTGAGATTTCATTGTACCCCGCACAGATTCAAGACACCCTGTGCCAGATGCTGCAAAGCAGCCCCAGAATATAACCGAGCCTCCTCCATGTTTCACATTTGGGACAGTGTTCTTTTCTTGATATGCTTCATTTTTCCGTCAGTGAATATAGAGCTGATGTGCCTTGGCAAAAAGTTCAATTTTTGTCTCATCTGTCCACAGGACATTGTCCCAGAAGCTCTGTGGCTTGTCAACTGTAGTTTGGCATATTCCAGTCTGGCTTTTTTATGATTTGTTTTCAACAATGGTGTCCTCCTCGGTCGTCTCCCATGTAGCCTACTTTGGCTCAAACAACAACAGATGGTGCGAACTAACACTGATGTTCGTTGAGCATGAAGTTCAGCTTTGATCTCTTTAGAAGTCTTTCTGGGCTCTTTTGTTACCATTCGGATTATCCGTCTCTTTGATCTGTCATCAATTTTCCTCCTGCAGATCTTAAATTTCTGAATGACACGTGCAACTGTAGTCACAGGAACATCTAGCTGCTTGGAGATAGCCTTATAGCCTTTACCTTTAACATGCTTGTCTATGATTTTCTTTCTAATCACCTGAGACAACTCTTTCCTTTGCTTCCTCTGGTCCATGTTAAGTGTGGTACACACCATGTCACCAAACAACACAGTGACTATCTGGAGTCCTATATATAGGCCCACTGACTGATTACAAGATTGTAGACACCTGTGATGCTGATTACTGGACACATTATTTTCATTCTTTTCTAGGGGTACCATCATTTGTGTCCAGGCCTGTTTCATGCATTTATTTTTTAAACAATTCAGTTGAAGCATGGTTGAAAAGCAATGTCTGACTTTTACTGGTTAAGATTTATAGAATTTTTAGTTATTATTACTTTAGTCAGATTAAAGTTATTTCTGTGACCATTGTGCGTTTTTCTTTCATTGACTGAAGGGTACCAACAATTTTGTAAACGTCTGCAGATGCTTACATTAAACATACCCAAAGTTTGAAAAAGGTTGCTGAGCATACGGGCAAGTTATCACTATGAGCAAAAGAAAAGGTGCTCTGAATGCTCCATATCAGGTGTGTTTCTTTCTTTTCTTTCTACTACTGGCTAAAAACATCTTTAATATGGTCATTTGAGTAATGGCTGTGAGGACAAACCTGCTGTTTAGAACTTTTTTTTATTTGGACGAGCCAATCAGAAGAAAGAAGACTTAAAGGGAGGGAGCTAAAACAGCTTCTTTCAGAGGATGGTGTGAAGAGCTGCACTAAGGCTCAGTATAAGACAAAGAAGATGTTTTATTTCTTTTAACTGTGAAAAAAAAATACTGAGTTGGACATGAGCGTAGGTTTCCAGTAACTTTTTAAATTGCCAATATCTTATTTTGTAAGCGGTTCTACTTGAGTTTTGTTAGCTCGAAGATCTACTTCAGACATGACTGAAGATTTACCTCTTCTTGGATAAAAAACAAAGCCCAGAGTAAATGACTGGGCTGGAGAGCTGTTAAATGCCACCAACACCTCCTCCTTTATCTGAAAAACCTACAGCGATCACCTCCCAGTGTTTGGACTCCCAGTTATCTTTTGGTCCAGGACCAGCTGTGAGCTCATAAACCCTGTTCAAAGTATGAATTTCAGGGTGTTAAACTCTGAACCACCACTGTTAAATCAAATAATAATAATAATACTGATATCATGTTAATCATACACAAGTAGTAATACCATAAATTAGTATGTTGGTGCTCGTTTTGACATGTTATTGTCCCAGACTCTCTGTCCGTCTGCCTGAACACATACCGTGATTTGCTATAAAACATATAATAGGCACAGTCAAAGATAAATGCAGTTATGGAGTCTTCTGAGTCATAGAACCATGAAAGTCTATCATTGTGAACCTTTGTTGTTGTGCAGGCTGAATGTCAAACATGCAAGAGTAGGTTTTTTTATGACAGCTGAAGTTGATCATTACATCAGGTCCTTCAGACTTTTTAGCCGTGCATACATAAAATCTGTAAATTCTTTCACATGACTCGTGTTCACAAGACTGCATACAGCATTCGCTCCACCTGACACTGCATGGCCTGCAATAAGTGGCTATGTGGAATTTTCATCTCTCCCCAATGCTGTCCTCAGGTAAGTCTCATATTCAATCATCAGTTTTACTTGATACTTTTTAGATGCCAGTTTACATAGCAGTTTAAATGTTCATTCATTCTACAGACACCTGGGTATTTACAGTATGTGCTTAATTGATGTCAGCTGATACAAATGCAGCAGTTTAAACTAGAAACCAGTTTACTGTTAACCTTGCAATGTAGAGCACCACAGGATGTGGTGATCGAATGTACTTTATTAAAGTGCATTATTAATGTACTCTTACTTTATTCAAGTATTTCTATGTTTTCGTGTTTTCTCCTACTGCCGTTAGTACTTTTGCTTATACCCCACTGCATTATGGGTATAGATATTGTTCTTTGGACTCCATACCACTTATTTTAAAGCTTTAGTTGGTTATTCTTGTCGTAACAGATCTATTTTACAGTCATGTGAAAAAGAAAGTTTTATGATTCGATAACTTGTAGAACCAGTTTTATCAGCAATTACATGAAGTAACTGTTTTCTGTATTGCTTTATCAGGCTGTCACACTGGAGGAGTTTTCATTAATGCACAGCATTCTTAAGGTGGCACCACAGCATTTCAGGGGTGCTGAGGTCTGGACTGGAATAACTGGGTCATTGGAGCACATTCATTATTTAGTTTTCCAGCCGTTCTGTTGTAGATTTGCTGCTGTGTTTGAGATCATTGCTTTCTTGCATGAACTGATTTTGGCTGAGCTTTAGCTTGAAAACTACCCTCTGAAAACTTTTCTTTTTTCATGTGACCTTATGATCCTGCGGTGGACTAGTTTCTGCAGGCACCTTGTTGGCCAACAGCACCTGAAGCAGCCATTGTTAACACGGACCCCACCCAAACCTGAACTTGCTTCTGCTGCATGTTAACATCCTGTTAAAAGGGAGTTTTTCCTTCCCACTGTCGCCAGGTGCTTGCTCATAGGGGATACATATGACTGTTGGGATTTTCTCTGTATTATTATGGGGTCTTTACCCTACAACCATTGTTGTGATTTGGGGCTATATAATTAAAACTGAATTGAATTAGGGACATCTCTGGGGGAAAGCCAGCTTGTGCACCCTTGTGGCAGGGCTGGTGTAAAACGTTTTCTACACTTTTGATTTCAGATAAAATATTTAATGCTTTTTACTTCTGTTTCAAACGCTAGAGTTATATTACAAAAGACTACAACTCCCACTTCCGCTTAGCCGTCATATGACGACTGTGTGTTTTGTCATGTGACCCTAGCGCTGCTATGTCAGTCCTCCGTTTCCCTTTTTCGCAGTGTCGCAGGCAGCAAACCGAAAACAGTCAGTTTCTGTCCGAAACGGCCCAACACACCTTAGACCCGTCCTGTAGCTGGTTAGAAAACACACTCCGGTTCGTGCTTGTCGCACTTTACCCGTGTATTTGGCTGTGTGCAACTCCTACATGTCAGAGTGGTAGACTCACAGCTCTGCAGCTTACCGGCAGGCCTCGCTGTTCACCGACTAAGCATCAGTCCTCACGCCGCCCTTGGGTGGGTCCGGCTCGGCCAAAGAGACAGCATGGTCCCGGTGCATCGCTAGCCTCTTGTGATTAAAGGCGACAGCAAGGGATGAATGGTATCAGTGGGGAAGTGTTTAGCTTGGATGCTACTGGAGTCTGTTTATAAGGATGAACGGTAAGATTTGCTGTTTCACTGCTTTCTGTTTCTTATCCATAAAATCACAACATGTCAAATCACGCCTGCAGGAGATTGCTCAGAAACTTAGTGAGACTTTCTAAGTTTCATTTGGGGGCCTTTTAGTTGGTTTCCATAATGTCTGATATTGTTCGACACATGGCTTTCCCCCCTTTTTGCTAGCTTTGTTGAAACGATAGATCGAGGTCAAGAATGCTCCAGGAAAACGAAGCAGTTCCGCACAATTTAAGTGGGATTTCTCAGGAATGAAAGTGTTAAAACTGTCTTATTTTTGCAAATGTTTCCAGTGTGTAAACAACTGGAAACCCCATAATGCTTAGGCCAACTGTGACTGAAAGCTGGAAAGCACCTAATAGTTTTTATATGGGGGAAGTATGCTTGAAGTCTCTGGAAAGCCTTGAAGCTTACGGTAAGAGGTGTGTGTTTAACAAGCTCCTGGCCTAAATTCACAGGTAAACAAGCTGGTGGATGAAAGTAACTTAAGTCCCTTTGCAAACTCACAGGTGCTCCAGAGGAAACACATGACCGGGGAGCTGCTCCAGTGGGTTGGCAGCTCTTCGATGACTTAAAACCTTTGAGACAAGGAGCATCATCATTGCCATTGTGAATATGCTGTCTGGGCTGCAGGGTTAATGATTACTAATGTTGATTCGTCTGCTATTTTTTTCTGGATAATTCACTCAGCCCATAAAATGTTAATATAAAACATTGTTCCACAGTGCTTCTAGAGGTTAAAGAATCCTCACAGTACCCTGTAATATTAACGTCCATAGGCGCTTCCTGTCGCAGTTGGAGCTCAGCAGTCCTTAAACGCAGAACTTCGCAGTCAGTTTTGATTATTTATGTTGATTCCGAGCAGCCATTACTTGCCACACAACTTCATTTCCTTCTCCATTGTCATGAATAATGAACGGAGTAACGATAAATGATGGGAAAACTAATCTGTGGCAACGTCATTTTCCTCATTCCTCTTGTTTTTGTTTGTGTTACCCTCCGCAGGCACCCAGCAGACTGATACAAAGAGGCAGAACCTCCTGGAGAGGCTGCTGGATGCTGTGAAGCAGGTGAGCTACCGGTTATCTGGACGTTCTTTATGCTGGAGACGACAAATTATCATCAATGCTGCAGTCCACATAGACTGAGCGAGGTTTAATAATTTTAAGCCTCTGCTTTTATGGTCAGGAAATCAGCTCACATTAAATGTGTGACTAGTTGTGAGTGATCTTTTCTTTGGAACAGGCTTTTTTTAAATTCCCGTCAACATTTTTGTGGTGACTGAATTTGTTACAGTTCCTTCTATCTCCCTTTCTATGAACACAATGGAGGAAGTAAAACCGAGTTCTGTTGACGGCCTCTGTAACCCAATATTCTGTAGAACAAAGTTAAAAACATGGGTAGAGTCCTACCTAAAAGAACACAATGACCATGAATACAAACCCCATTCCAAAAAAGCTGCGGTTGTTTGTAAAATATGAATAAAGACAGAGTCAAACCTAGGATGCTTAATTGAAAGTAGTTGAAAAATATGAAAAAATATATACCGTAATTCCCGGACTACAGAGCGCACCTGATAAAAAGCTGCATGCTCTAATTTTAGAAAGAAAATCAATTTTGTACTTGTACAGGCCGCACCCGATTTTAAGCTGTATGCGTTTCACTCGTAATATGAGATATTTACACAGAAATATTACACGTGAGGCTTTTTAATGTTTAATTTAATCCGTAAGGTAACATAAACGTTATGCTAACATACAAAAATACATACTGCAAATGCTTAATTTCCTCGAACAGCGCTACCTTTAAGTATACATACGTATCAGTAACACACAAATTACGTTGCTTATGGTTTTTTTTATGGAACAGTGCACAAACAACATTACAACATCTCTTAACAACCGGTAAAAATATATACCGTATATATACTACTTATCAATTTTATTGGTCTACTGTTACCAGGCAAAATGTTTTTGGCTGCATGAAAAAAAAACTGCATTAGCTGCACGTCAGTATAAGCCGCAGTGTTCACAGTGTGGGGAAAAAGTAGTGGCTTATGACCCGAAAACTACGGTACACGTTAGGGCTGTGCGATATGACCAAAAT